CTTAATTGAAGAATCTTATCAGAAAATTTTCAGGGCTAGGCCCATGCCCCTCTCAATCTCATCTCCATGGCAGCATGAATAGTGTGAACCTTGTATCCAGGTACAAATACTGATTAGCTATCCTTGAGATCCCAACTCTGTTTTATCTTGGAAGCAAATGGACAGGTTAAAATATTACTGTTTAAAACCCAACATTATCAATACTTTTCCAGGACTTTGAAGACTGACATTCTATCTACCGTTATCTCACAGGCTGCTACCAATGTCTCCAAGTGTAAACACCTTTCACTTACAGTAGAACAGCCAGACCCCTTTAATTTCTAACAGTGAAAACATCCAGCCTAGCTGCCAGTAGACTTGATCCTCTTAATTTTAAGGGGACAGTAACAAACAATTATGTAAACATTGTAATTGTAAAAATGGCTGACATGGTATATTGCAGAAATGTAGGAATTGTTCGAAAAAAAGAACAGCATCTGTCTATTTTGCCTTCTACTATTCTGGTAGTCCCATGATACGAGCGTGATAAAGCTGTTGATTGATCATAACAATCAATGAACCTATAACAGACCTAAAAATAAGGTCAGTAATGGAAAGTTTTGGGTACCATAAGTCCAACATTGCCTGTTTCACCCAATAATGATATACTTACCATAGGACAGATTTCAAATTGTGTGTTTGTGTGTGTGTGTGTTTTTATATATATATATTATTTATTTAAAATCTACCTGGAATCAAATGCATTAATACAAGAAATACTCTTAACATGTATGTTCTATATATTGGCTACTCACTCATGTATCAAAAATGTATGTAGATTAATTTTGGATTTATCAGCCTTCAAGTGCAGACCATGTCCTCTGATTCTATTTTTCTGGATAAAGTAATACAACTCTCATACCCCTTTATAAAAGGGAAAGGTGAAGTTGCCATAGGGCCACACTCAGAGAGAGATGACTGATTGTGAGCTTAACTTGAGGGTCACCTCACCTCAAGTGAGGGGCAAAGCTGAGAAGGAAGAACACTCCGGTGGCCTCAGCGGTGTGGGCATTGAACCTGTGCTGTTGGTGTCACTCTAAATTACAGATTCACCATGCAGCAAACTGAGCTAACAGCACTATCCAAAACTTGATGTGATAGGGTTGTTTGCTTATGGGATCTCTTAACATTGTCGGTACTATACTGCTTTGCTGTTTAATATGCTTGACAAAGTTCTTTTCAAGTATGCATGGTACTTCTGAATGCTCGCTTACTCTTTGTTGAAACAAATAAGTTTTCAATTTTAATTGTAATGGTCAGGTAAGCAACATTTAAAGGACAATGAGGTCATGGATTGCAATGGAATTCTGCTGCAGCTGATGGTCCATGGATAATCAGTTTTGAACTGTTAGGTCTGTTCTTAATATGTCCCAGCAGTAGTATCATGTTGGATGCAAGCCACCCAGTGAGACAGTAAACCAAGATGCCTTCCTCTATGGGTAAAGCTTCTTGACTACTCAGTTTTATTGTTCCTTTATACGTATATGTATTTTCACAATTAATAGCCACCATCTGTGAGATAAAAACCACATGAGTGGTTTTCTTAGCTAACAAGATGCTGGCATCAAGATGAAAGGGCATTATTCCTACACCACAATATGATTAGCCAGACACTTTCATACCTCCACCAAACAAAATGGAGATGTGTTCTCACTGTAGAGACAGTGAGATAATGGTGAAGTTAAATATTTTCTCACTACCTGTTCAAACCCAGGCCGACCAATTCATCTGGGAGGGCAGCAGTAAACAGCAGTGAATATGAGGTAATCTTGCCCATGTTTAAGAAGAGGCCACAAGACTTTATGGGGTTCAAAATCATGGTTGCGAATACTGTCACTTGACTGTATGCCACTTTGGTTTTTGCTGATGGGAGCCTTTAATATTGCCGAAGAGGTATGACAATGGCAGTGCCAGTTTATTGATGGAAATAGTTCCATGTTAAAAATGTATTTTTTGATAGTTATTTTTTCCTGCTGCCAGTGTTCTTTCCTCACTTCTGAAGCCCAATCTTCTGCTAAGTTGCACGGGATTTGTCAATAAGATCTTATAACATGTAGGACTGTCAATCTTTTTGGCAACCTTGTGAATAGGGCCCTAACCATCTGCTCAGTGTAGGCTTGAGATACAGTATATTAAAACCTTCCTGCATGATATGGTACTCTGATAAAATCATCTCTTGTATGTTGCAAAAAGTCATGAAAGGGCCTGAATCCACTGTTTTGGCCCCAAGTGGTGCCCAGTTTACAGGTTATCCTGGAAGCAGAAGGTGTCTGAAAAATCTGAATAACGGTGAAAGTTGCGTATTATGCTGTCATGAAGTAAATCCGCAAGTGGTTTTCTTAACTAACAAGATGCTGGCATCAAGCTAAAAGGGCATTATTCCTACACCACAAATGAATGATGTGATAAATGAGTTCCAGTGCTGGTGCGATGCCACATATATAGGCCGTATGTCCCAACAACTGGCAGACCATATCAAACAATACATCCCATTGACCATTCATAGCGGCAGGAAGCCAGTCCTGTTCAACCAGCTGTATGTTTGCAAGCCTCAGAAAAGTACACCCACCATTCAATGTGATTCTGCTATTGGAAATCATTTATTAAATAATAATCCAGACTCTGCTAGGAGTTACACCAGAAACCAATTTAAGATCATCAGCTGGCAGAGTGACGCATTTGTGTGTGCTACGTACATAAATACTCAGGACCCTATGTTATGTTATGTAGACATAAGCAATTTATACATACAGTGCATCTTTTTTCATAAACAGGTCTCGTAGAGACAGCCAAACATCGCTGCACCCTCATGACAATGCCCTGACCAATCAAAATCTCCAAGCCTGGTCAGAGAATTAACATGACGGTTACATGTTCTTGCTGCAGCACCATGCCAGTAGTGGCCCAACCAATCAGCATCCTCTTCTTATCCTGTATAAACTGGTGTCTTTTATTCCAGTCTGTTCCTTACGTTCTAGTTTTGATGAGTGAAGATGAAAAGCTTCAACTTCTAATCTCCTTTTAGTAATGTTTAAGTTCTGTGTTAAAACATTTATGTAAACAATAAATGATATGTAGTGGTTCTTCGTCATGCAGCCTAATATTTGCCAGTATATGTGGAATAATAACAAAGTAGAGGAGGCTGTGCTGTTTCCCTGTGTGCCTCTAAGATAAACAAGAGGCAGGGAGAGAAGGGAGGACAAAACTGCATTTAATTTTTGAGCAATGTGGAAAGCAAAGCACCATGTATTTTTCAACATAATGTTTGACTTTTGCAATCACTCTTAGAGTCATAGTCATACAGTCACAGAGATGTACAGCACAGAAACAGACCCTTCGTCCATCTCATCCATGCCAACCAGATATCCTAAATTAATCTAGCCCCATTTGCCAGCATTTGGCTCTTATCCCTCTTAAACCTCTCCTATTCATATACCCATCCAGATGCTTTTAATTGTACCAGCCTCCACCACTTCCTCTGGCAGCTCATTCCATACATGCACCACCCTGTGCGTGAAAAAGTTGCCCCTCAAGACCCTTTTAAATCTTTCCCCTCTCACCTTAAACTTATGCCCTGTAGTTTTGGACTCTTCCCCACCACCCCCACCCTCGGCCACCTTGGGGAAAAGACCTTGTCTATTTACCCTATCCATGCCCCTCATGATTTTATAAACATCTATTAGGTCATTTAATGGAAAGGAAAAGACTGAGTTGATAAATATGCTACCTTGACAGTAATTCAACTCTACAAATCACTATAGTTCTACCTTGCAAGTTACCTGTTTTCAGCAAGGTATGAAATATAGAATATCTGGTTGAAATTAGGATTAAACTAAATTTCTCTTACTTTTCTGAGTTACGGTACGTCAAGTCCATGACCTTCAATAGAACGATAATTGATTCAATAAAGTTAACTAATGAAAGGGGGAAAAGGGAACAGAGGAAGGAATTAGTGTGGGATATGACAAACAAACAGTGATAGGAGGGGACAAAGAATACAGATCAAAGTGCAAATTATCAGATAAGACCAGAGTTTACGAAAATAACGAAAGGACAAAATGTAAGGCACTAAGATCTAGTGTCCATTACTGAGATTTTGGCTGCAGGATGACCTAGATTTGGACCTGAATATTAAGAGTTTGTGACATTTAGGAAGGATAGGAAACTAGGAAAGGGTGGAGGAATGGCTCTATTAATTAAAGATGATATTAGCACAATGAAGAGGATTGGCCTAAATTTAGGAAACCAGGATGTAGTGACGTTCTGGGGAATGATGAGAAATAATAAAGGCAAGAGGTCACAATTTATAGAATGTTGTTAATAAGTCTGTATGAGTTTATCAAGTAAACCAAATCTACACTACTCAATTGGTGTTACTTAATGATGACAAAAAGAAACATTACACATTGAACCCTTGAAAGTGCAATAGTGAACATTGTTTTGAAACTTTATAATTCCTTTTTTTTTAAAGCAATGCTGTATCGTAGATAAAATGAATGAAGATGGATAAATGAAATGCAAAGGAATGTAAAAAAGTGTCTGTTGTGTGAACAATAAAAGTACCAAATTAAAAGTGATAGTGTAAGAAATTTGAACCGATTGCCATAACTAACTTTGTACTGTCCAGTATGTTAAAATTAGTGAGAAAATGTCAGATCTCAAATTTAATTTTGAAGCTGTGGTTTAATCATTATGCAGAGGCTCCCTGATTTACAAACACCCAACTTAGGAAAGCTCACACTTAAGAATGTGATCCTATACAAGGGTGTACTAATATTAATAGTTAAGATCCTACACGTGAATGGCTACTTTATATGTCCTGCATTGTGTTCCAACTTGTGTACAAATTGCCTTGCGAGTGGCTTCAAGAACAGAACTTGTTCGCAACCTGAAGATCACAATTTATAATCACGTGAAAGTGAATTTTACTGTATCATTGATAAGTCACCTTATTTTCATAGGAATTGACTGATGGAGTTGCAAAAATCAGAACAGTTAGAGAAGCTACATCTGAATGTCTCTGTCCACCTGGTGAGTAAATTAGTCTTCTGTGGTCTTATTCAAGATTATTCCTCAAGCTTGCGTACATCTCCTTAGTTGAAATGAATTTGTATTCCTTCAGACACAGTTGTGATGGAGTAAGATTTTCATCTGACTCTTAAAATATTCCATAGTCCATTTATCTGGAACACTTGCTTTTCAAATCAGGCTCTCAAGATGAAAGTGAAGCCTAAACAAGTGAGGTGGTAAGGTAGAAATAGATAAAAATGTGACCCATTCTAGGGTTCCTCTGTCCATTAACATTTTTGGGGGCTTTCCCACCAATACTTGAGGGCAGTAGTTGGAAAATCAAAGTAAGGATGATTTAATGTGTGGATTGTGAAGGAAAGTACAGACTCCATTTATCTTTTACCATCAACTCTTGTATCAAGAAATGTGTTTAAAAACTGTTACAAAATAAAGTGAAAACAAGTGACTGCTGAGGTAGAAGTCATAACTACAGTAAGCCAAGTAGTGTGTTCTGTACCAAGAAAATTATCAGTCATTTTCCAGTTGATCCTTCTTTAATACGTCAGTTTGGTAATGGAACTTGCATTATATATATAAAACTCTTAAAACACACAGGCCATTAAGTGGTACACATGCACAGTGTCATCTGGCATTTATTATTCACTCTCTCTGCATACAATAAAGATGACAATGGCTATTCACAGGTCCCAAGTTGCCATGTGGGTTGACTTTAATTGAGAAAATTGAACATTTGTAGTCTGACTAGCTCTCCAATGTTCAGTTTTGGCAATAATTTGACAGTTTTACCACAGCAAATTTTGGCATTCCCCTTGATTTAGGCACTCAGTCCTGTTACTACTTCTGGATTCAATAGTTTCCTTACTCTTAGATGAGTAATTTGGATGCGGTGTGACATAGGTCATTGGACTGGACTACTTTCCATGACTTAATTAGGTATATTTCAGGAGATGTATTTCTCTACTGAAGAATTGCTTTATAAAAGTCTCTGCTAGGTTTGTTCAATTTCTCCATGATCCCTTGGTGATTTTCACTGCCACCTCAACCTTTGCCAAATGTCTAGGGTTAGAGTGGAGGTGATGCATGGTGTTGGATTCCTCAATCATCTATGAATTCTTCACTTCTGAACTGAAGGCCAGTGCCGTTATCACAAAGTCTGGAATGCTGTAATAACTGAAGTGTGATTTCAGGCATTCTAACAGCACACCGATGGTCAATGATATCAGCTAGTCCAACTTCCAGTAATTAGAATAGTATTTGGTAATAAGCTAATTAGTTTCTGTGAGAGTGAAGAGATATACTCCAAGCTTCATCCGTGGTCCTTCTGCAATATTATGTGTATAAGCAGCTCTTTAATTTGCTTACTTTAGCATTCTTTAACCTTGGCTTAATCATTACTTGCACTTCCCATTTTGGGCCAGTAAAGCACTTTTCTTGTTTTCCTCATTACAAGTCTGTAATGGCTCACATGTATGCATTTCAGCATTTCTTTTTCTCAGCTCTTTAGAGGTAATTAATTTATTTCCTTTCTACAAGATGCTATCACTTCATCCCTATGTGACCAATACGTTCCTACAAATAAATAAATGTTTTTTTTTCTGAATGGCAGACAGTGACTAGTGGGGTACTGCAGGATTAGTACTAGAGCATCAGCTATTCACAATATGTGTTCATGGTTCAGATAAGGGAACTAAATGTAATATCTCAATTTGCAGATGACACAAGGTTAGGTGGAAGAGTGAGCTGTGGAGGATACAGAGATAATGCAGTGTGATTTGGACAAACTGAATGAGTGGGCAAATGCATGGCAGGTGCAATATAATGTAGGTAAATGGCAGTTTATCCAATTTAGCAGGAAAAATAGGAAGCAGATTAAAGTTTGAACCACTATACACTGAGAGAGGGGAATCTTCCATAAGGCCTCGATGTCCTCATGCACCAGTCGCTGAAACTAAGCATTCGGGTGAAGCAGGCAGTAAAGCAGGCAAACTCTATGTTGGCCTTCATAGTGAGGGGATTTGAGTACAGGAACAAGGATGTCTTGTTGTAATTATACAAGGCATTGTTGAGGATACATTTGGAATATTGAGTGCAGTTTTGGTCTACTTCTCCGAGCGAGGATTTTCTTGCTGCAGAGGGAATGCAGTGAAGGCTTACCAAATTGATTCCAGGGATAGCAGGACTGAGGTATGAGAAGAAATTGAGTTGGTTAGGATTGTATTCAGTGTAGCTTAGAAGAATAAAGGGGACTTCATAGAAAGCTATAAAATTCTAACATGACCAGACAGGTTAGATACAGGAAGGATGTTTTGATGGTGGGAGAGTGCAGAACCAGGGATTAAGTTTAAGGTTAAGGCGTAAACCATTTAGGACTGAGAGGAGGAGAAATTTCTTCATCCTGAGTCTGGTGAACCTGTGAAATTTGCCACCAGAGGAAGTGGTTGAAGCCAAAACATTGTGTATTCATCCGGGAGTTAGACATAGTTCTTGTGGCTAAAGGGATCAAGGGATATGGGCAGAGGGCAGAATTTGAGCTCGATGATCAGTCATGATCATATTGAATGGAGGAGCAGGTTCAAGGGGTCAAATGGACTGCTCCTGCTCCTACCTTTTTGTTTCTAAGTGTTTCTTTAACGGTTACCAGCCATCTTTTCATCACTGCTTCCTGCAGCATTTGGAGAAATGCACCCGGTCATGTAGTTTCCTTAATTTAAGCAAGGCATTTGCCTTTCAATGCTTCTGCTAAATTAATGTTGCTTCTTGTTAAATCTAGAAGATTTCACACTCTTAGTACCCTCAACTCTTTTCTTAGGCAGTGCTGCTTCTGTCCGCTTGTCAGCAATGCACATCTGTTTCCCTTGTTTATTTATCATGTCCAGATGATATCTTTGCAAGTAAAGTAAAATTCTTTGCAGGTGCTTTGGAGCGAATAGAAGCAGTTTGAGAATGATACTCTCGAGTGGGTTATGGTCAGACTGCACTGTCATTTCATCTCTCCCAAATAGATATTAGTTAAAATGCTTGTGAGCAAAGACAATAGCCAGGCACTTTCTCAACCTGAGCAGACAGTCATTCAAATTGGTTTATGCCCTGGATGCAAATGCAAATATCTTGTCCTCCTCAAAGTCTCTTTAATAATGTCTATCACATCATGGTAACCTGTAACTAGTTGCTAACATACAATAAATAGTATCTTGTAAACCACAAGACTCTCATATAGTTAAACCAGGAAGCATTTTTCCTATGGACAAAGCAGCAACTTCGTCATGAGCAGTAGATCATATGTGTGCGGAGCTGGCATGCCCTACAGGAGCTATCATCACACTGCAAGGTGACTTCGTAATTGCGTTACAGTACCTCAGCACTGGTTTTGTCATCACTGGTTGTTTGATTCTAAAGAAAGCTCATTCTATGCCCTAATTCTAATGTACATCTTTAGCAATGAGCTCCCGTAGAGATTTATACACTGATGACAAATGAGCCAAGAACGTTGCTAAATTGTTCAAAAAGTCCAACCAACCATGTTCTTCTCTCCCATCTGTCGCTCGTTGCATCTCAACTGCAGCTCATACCTTCTCAGGACTAGGAGAAGTCCTTTGGCTGATTATACATGAGTGATTGAATTTAGGCATCTTTAATTGCATTTTTTTTGTTGAGCAGCTTCAAATTCATCTGAAAGTCTTTCATGCTAGATTTTGTTCCTGGTCAGCAATGATTTCTTTCACTATGTCTCCAAATCCATACATTAATAGATCATCCACAATAACTTACACTCTGCGAAGATCAGTGCCATCTGCCTTAATACTCTTCTAGATCAGTGAAAATGCCAAACAGCTTGAACAACCATCTCTATCTGCCAGAAAGTATCCAGAATGTAACTAGACAACATTTACTTTCACCCAGCTTAACTTTTATTGAAGTCAGTAAAGACCTTTTGCCTTAGAAAGTTGTGGCAACATTTCTTCAATGGCTGTAGTGAGATCTTTTCAAAGCTTTTTTGAGATTTTCCAGGATTGTTTTTACAGCTACCATTGCCCCTAATCCACATGGTAGGAGTTATAACTTTCTTGATTGCTCCCTTCTCGACCAACCCTTCTTTCTTATCGTTCAGGCTGGTCTTGGAATGTGATATTTAGAAATGGAATAATCAATCACATTTGAAAATATCTAAATGGCTCCAACTGAAGAGCTAGTTCGTATTGGTACATGATAATTTCAAAGGAGATAAGATAATCCACTTAATAATCTTTTCAATCGTAGTTCAAAACACTTTTTTTTGTTTTTGTAGTGGCTGCTTTCAGTCTCAGAGAAAACATCCGATGAATGTGAAACCAAAATAAGAGAGAAATGCAAGTGAAACAATATGGTGATCGAGGACTTGATTTTCAATCCTCAGTGGGGTGGATGTCAGTTGTGGGTGCACTTTGAAAATAAGTTGCCTGTTGGCATGTCAGGGATATGCTGCTATTTTCAGAATGAGGACTGTGTGAGGAAGAGTCTGCAACCCACTCACCTCCAATTAACAGCCTATTAGAATGCTTGAAGAGCTAGTTCATGGGTTAGAGAGGGTCAGGACACTCTTTTCAAATCAAAAGTCAACAGAACGGAATTGTTTAGTGCTTATTGATGCTGAGCTCCAGGGTGTAAGGGGGGAGCCATTAAATCATATTTCTGCTGACCACTCATTACAGTTCTATTTTTCTGTTGTCTTCAATGGGAAATAAATCAAATACATTTTTAATATTTTTCAGAAATATGGGTGTTCTTAAATCTATGAAATAGTATTTGCATCAAGAATTAACATATTATTGCTACGTATTATGTATTTCAGGATTACCTTCAATTGAGTTTGACTGTACGGTATAATGCTTTATTTTAAATGAAGTGATCATATGGAATATTGTTAAATTCACTGTACTTTAGCACAGGTACTTCTTTGTAAATGTATGTGCTTTGTGTAATTAGTGTGCTTATTGTTTTATTGTGATTGTTTGTTTGGCTAT